TCAAAAAAGAAGGAATTCTGTGCTTTTTCACTTCTTACTATCTCACAGGTGTACTGCTGAATTTCCCAGAGGCTACATGATGTGAAAGGACAGGTAGTAAATATTTTACAATTGTGGGCCACAGGATCTCTGTCACACTGCTTAATTCTGCCGCCATAGAAAAGCAGTCTCACAAAATATGTCAACAAATGGGTGCGGCTATGCTCCAATAAAACTTAATTTACAAAAATAGGCAGCGGGTGGACTTGGCCACAGACCCTAGTTTACCAATGCTGGATCTAAAATGCAGCTGTGGATGGAGCATGAGACATGTTTATGTTGCAACTGTTATGAGGCTTTTTAATGAGAAATTCAACCTCCATCTAATCACATTGAAATTAATGCAGCAGTTAGAAGTTGTGAGGACACAGTGATTGCAGCCGGCACTGAGAAGTGGTCCTCTAAGTGAAAGAGGAAAATAAATATTTTACACAAACAAACACAAAAGCAAAAGCACAGCAATTAGGAATCATTTGAAAAAACTTAGGCCCTTCAACACCAATAACCCTGGGGGCATAAGTATGTTAAAGCATAGCACATAACTGCTGTGCATAATGAGGATTTTGATTCATCAAGGAAATGCTTAATTATCTCCTATGTGCATCTACTAAAAGAGGCAAAAAGTACATAATTTTTAAAAGAAGTGACTACTAGTTCTGTGAATGAGCCTGCATTTTGCAGTCACCCACCTTTCAAAGCCCGGGTCTGACAAGCTTCTTTCCCATTCCTTCCCATCTCCAGTGACTCCGCATATCCTCTGCCTCTTCCTCAACTGCGTCCTAGCTCCTTATAACCACTGTGGGAAACTGTTCCGCCATTTCTACTCAAGCTTGTCAGTGACCTGACAAGCACTGAACACGCATGTCCAGTGACCCGACAATTTCACTCCTAAGTGTAGACCCAAAAAATGCACACATCTGTTCACCAACATACACGTACTAGAATATGAATCATAACTCTATCTGTAAGAGCCTGAACTGCAAATTACCAAATGTCCATCAACAACAGAATGAGTACAGGGACTGCGGTGAGTTCACGCAATGGAATACCACGCAGCAACAAGACTTAACAATCTACACGTACACACAACAATACGGATGAATCCCACAAATGTACTGTTGAGGAAAAGTAGCCGGAAACGTATGGTTTCATTTATACAATGTCCAAAAACAGGGAAAATAAACCCATGC